CTATTAAGAGATATGCACATATGAGCTTGGCAATTTGCTCGTGTCTCTGCTCGAGACTTCCTTATTTGTCTTTCTCTTTTATCATGAACCATTTGACCTTGTTTACAACAAACATATTTTCTGTAAATGACAACGCCATCTTTCAAACTTTTATTTTGAAAATATTTTCTCACGCTAAATCCCACAGACCCTCTATAACTATTGTAAAATGAAAAAGCATCTTCCTCCACATAAAATTACATACCAATATGAGGTCTATTCTCAGTCGCATTAACTCCCAAATCATGCACCATAGTATCCTACAATAAGAAATTTAATATATGTATGACATTCAAAAAGTGTATATATGGTGAATGAAACACATAATATATGTATGACATTCAAAAAAATATGGTGAATGAAACACAATAATATATGGATGACATTCAAAAAAAAAAAATCAAACTAGAAAAATATTGACCACAAAAATAGAAAATAAACATCGAATAGTTATTATCACCTACAAACTAGATCAGTTAAGTCCAAAACATACCAGCAACTGCATACCAACTTTGTTAATAAACAATAGGTTACATACATCTTTTATGGCTACTTCCATTATTTTTTTTAATCAATAGCTTCATCAAACAACCTCTGTTTTTTTTTATAAGGATCAAAACAAAATCACTACTAGAGAAACATCCTTAAAACGATTTTCATCTTCATAAGTCTAAGCATCCCAATTCAACAACAATACATTTAAAGGAAAACAAAGGGCATTGTACCAACATAGAAAAAAATGACTTTGAATTGGTCCCCTAGACAGCCCAAGACGAACTCTGATTGGTTCCTTGGAAAAAATAACTTTGAAACTGGGACAGATTGGTCCCTTGGACAACCCAAGACGAAATTAGATTGGTCTCTTACCTGGCTTTTGGTGTTTACTGAGTTGTGAAGAAGGGAGAAGAGGGAGATTGAGTTATGAAGAAGGCAGGAGAACCAGACTCCATTTGACGAAGAAGAAGCGGGAGAAAGAAAAGGGAGATTGCTGAAATTGATTTTAAAGACCAAAAATGACGCTGTTTTTGGTAAGGAATATTTAAAAAAAAATTGCAAAAAGTACCCCAAACGATACCGTTCCACTTAATCGCATATCATGTGGTAAGTGGGTTATCGCATATCATGTGGTAAGTGGGTTACCACAGAGGAGCCAGACCCCCAGCGACAATGCCAATGCCAAGGCTACCACCAACGATGATCGACGACACCCACAAGGTATATATATCTCTCTCTATCCTCTTATTTCCCCCCTTTCTTATTCGGCCCCTACACACACACACACAAACCCGTTTCCCATTTTCTATGTGTTTTTTTTTCTCTTTCTGTTCTCTGTTTTCCTCCCTCTACAACATACTTGCACGACCCACACCAACACCACAAACACTCACACACCCTAAAAGCAGTTGCGCTATCAGATAACATCTGTTAGCAATTTACCAGCCTAGCCACACCACACATTTGCATACTCTCACACACCTAAAAACATTGCAAATGTTCCACGGTCATATATTTTCTCTCTCCATCGCTCTAAGTGTGCCTATAACCTGTTCGACCAAATGCCCTTGTAGGTATTGACTTGACCCCTTTTCCTCCTCTCCTTCTCTCCATGTCACATCTCTCCACCACTTTTTGCCACCACCATTCTGTCACACACACACTACATAAAACACAAATACATAGTCCCCATAACCCGCACACACCTTCACACTCACCCACCCTCATGTGCAGACACACATAGACACACACAGACACACACTTTTATACGCACTGATGTTGTGCACGCACAGTCACTCCAGGTCAATTTGTGTGGATTTTTTTTTTGTAATTTTAATTTTTTATGTATGTAATTGCCTAGACTGTCTCAATTCCTAAAGTGGGAGCACGGAATTCCCGATTTTGTGGTTACATACTCAAAAGATCACGCCTTTGGTTCTGCACGTAGATAATTTGATGGAATGACTCATTTAGAAATGAGGTTACTTAAATTGAATGAATAATTTGAGTTTTTTTGGTACTTGATTGCTTTAATTTTGTGTAATCAATATAATTGCATTTGTTCATTAAATTGTACCATTAGTACTTTTGTTGTATGCAAACTTTTTGATAGAATGCTTCATTGATGGAATTAGTGAGAAAGCTCTCTGGTAAGAATTTTTTCTACTACAACTTTTGGACAAAAATTTAATTTTGGTAACTGTCACACACATCTCTCTAATTCTTTTAACACGCTATTTTTTTTTTTGTAAATGTTGTGTTGCAATATATTTGCCATCATGTTTGAGACAAAAGTCTTTGGGGGGGGGGGGGGGGGCGCATTCGTCACTGCATCATAAACAACTACAACTGCTGCCACGTCTACAACCACAATGCACAAACTTGAAGCAGATGAAAGTCTAGATGAGGACAAATTTGTCTTCTATGGTACAAGATTTTGCTTTTTTTTTACTTCATTGTGCTCATATATTTGTTGAATGGGCACTATACTATTAGTGAGTTCTTCTATGGTCAATCATTGTTTGATGGTATATCGAGCAATGAAATCCTTAGTATATTGTAGTTTCAAGATTCAGTCTTCTCTTTATGTTCAATATTGAGAAATTGAGAGTTTTTTTGGTTTGCTTTTGATATTACATTATGTCAAGGATGAACTTTTGTGAGTGTATTTATGATTCTTGGGCTAGTGGGGAACAATTATATACCATTCTTGGGCGGGCATAGTATATAAATCATTGTTATAATACTAATAGGACTAAGTAATTTACCAAAAATTTAACACGACTGAGGAGGAGTTCAATTTAAATAAAGCAAGGGTTCAAAAAGGGCTTTTGCTCCTCCATTGCCTGAAAAGTGGGTACGAGTATAAGAATTACAATGACGGATTTCTATTGAAGATTCTTATAAAAGAGGACACTTCTCTGTTTACAGTAGTTGGTAAATAATGGTAGTACGGGCATGAGAAACATGATTGATTTATGTTGTCTCCGTTTAAATAAATGTTTGATTGTATAAATTCTTTATATATGTTGATATTTTTCAAAAGTCATATTTTTATAGTGAAATATGTTAAAATTATTAGTGGACTCATATTAATTAGTCAATTTTCTCAGTTTTTTTTATTGGTGATTTTTTGTGTTGTATGGTGCTTTTTTGGTGTGGACAATTGTTTATGAATTTTTTTCAAGTTACGTAGTGTTTTCAGACACGGACAATTACTAGCAGATACTTCCTCTGTCCCTAAATATTTGTCGTTTAAGGTTTTTGCACAGGGATTAAGGAAGTTATTAAATAGCTCTAATATGAGTAAAAATAATTACAAAAGACTAAAATACCCTTATTCAATACGTATTGGGAATGAAAGGAATATGAAAGACACTTAGCCTACACTTAATCTATTAAACACTTATTGAAAAATAGAGATAATGGTAAATTTGGAAAAAAAATTATTTATTATGCTTTGGTTTCATAAAACGATAGATATTATGGAACAAAAAAATTGTGTAAAACGACAGATATTTAAGAACAGAAGGAATAGATATGAGAGAGAGAAAAGGGCAAAAAAAGGTGGGAGAAGCATTAAATGGGTCGATAAATATAAGTCAAATGTGTTATTTTCTCAATAAATATGTGTTGTCTTCCCAAAGGACATTTTTGAGTTTTTAAAAAATAGTGGACTTAACTATTTATTAATAAAATTAAAATAAGACTTATTTCTAAATAAGTTTAAATGATAGATTAAACTTCAATTTGACTTAAAATTTTAGGTGATCACAGGACAAAAACCTGGTGACGAGGTTTAGATCTTTGCTTAGGTATCCTGTTGGGTTGGGCCGACATGCAAAACAACTGAAAATTGTTCAGCAAATGGGGCATTAGTGCTCATTGTTAGGATCAAGATTATCGTTACACAAATACACTGGTTCTTTGTTTTTAAGCCTTTTTTGTCCTATTTGTTGGTTATTGCTAATGTCTAACAGTTGCACTCGAGTAAAAGAAATATTAAATAAATTTAAAAAATAAACTTGATTATCATAATCATTGAATAAGTTATAAATTCTAATAAATGTTGAAATTCAAGTAAAATCAATAGTTATAATTACTAAGTCTATTTTTTAAATCTATATAATATTATTCATCGAATAAAATATATATTTCTAGGCAGCCAAAAGATCGTCCATCTTTAAGCACGAATTGTAGTAGTCAAGTCTCAATAGTCGTATAACGGTTATATTCGAACAAAAGTATGTTATTTATCTCTATATGTACCATGTTGGGTTTTTGCATATGAGAACCTCAAATCAAATATGAAAAGAATTGAAAGGTTCATAGTGTATAGTGATTTATATTATTGGAGATATGAAAGAAAATTTAGAAATTTAGCAGTATATGAATAGCCTGGGTGGAAATATTTTTTAAATTTAACCACTTTTGTACTCCCGCTCTTGCATCCGCTGTTGCCCTATGTGATCTAAGGTGACTGTATGTGCCAAACAGTATTTGGATGGATCGAATGGAGGTTGCTATAATGTTTAGGCAATGGGGTTAGGTGACAGTGATCAATGAGAGATGAATGGAGTAGTTAAAGAAGTTAAATGGAACAATTTGGTCGAAAGAGATTAATTAAAATTTTAAAATTAAGTAATTTGGGAGGAACGACTTCTTAAATCCTCTCATCTGAAATATATTTGTTTTTTATATATAGATAGATTCTAAACGGGTATTAATTTCTATACCTTTGGTCATATGATTGGTAAGAAAATCTTCAGGGGTCTTAAGTATAATAATCCCTTTCAAATAAGATAAAAGAATCCAAAAGCCACATTCTGATTGGCCAGGAGGAAGACAACGAGGCACATTTCTCAGCTGCCCCAAAACTTTCTTATCCATTCAATAATGCCCATAAATATGCACTGTGTTTCAGCAACTATCACAGGTTTCTATAGGAAACTTACACTAACTGGCTCATGGCTCTCCAAACAGCTTCTTTACTTCAAGCTGCTATCTCCACCCATAAAGAGGTATGCTGCTTGTTACTGATTTCTTCTATAATTTAGAAAATTTCTGGGTCTCCTTCAATAATCACCATTTGGATTTCTTATTTGGGTCTGCCTCCTTTTTATTCTCCAAAATATTCATGAAGGTCTGTAATGTTGACAGAGGAAGTCTAATGCTTCCCTCAAGGAGACATCATCTCTCTTTGGAGTCTCTGTATCAGACCCTCTTAGAGTTGAATTCGACTCTCTTGTCACAGGAAGCAAGGTAATTTACTGGTACAGACTTTTTTTTTAAGTACTTTGTAAAAGCCCAAAGAGGTTACAATGGGTTTTCAATGTACAAAGCGTGTTTATAAAACACGCCTTATATATTTTACATTGCCCATTGTGAAAACAACGATAGTTTTTGGAAATAAGTTTGAGATTGTAATGTAAAAAGAATAAAGTCGGAAAATGGCTGTAATTTGGGAAAGATTTTGGTTAAGTATCTGTACATCCCTGGGCACAGCCTAGGTAGTGGCTTCCTTCCCCTTTCTTAGAAACAGGTTAGATCCATTGGTTTTCATAGAAATTGTAAAACAGGCTGTACTTAACAAAAAAAAGACTTAATGGTTTACATACTTACAATTTTGAAAAAGGGTCTGTTGGAAACTAAAGTTGTTTACTCTGTGCTGAGTGCTTGCCACTTGGTTGTGTAGTACTGTGAAGTTTTTTCCTTCTTGTGACAATGCTGAAGCCACCTTATAGTAGAAACTGAGAAACTTCCATCAGGTTTCTTTGAAGTTAAACCTCTTTAGTATGAGTAGAAGAGAAGGAAAATGTTAAAAGGAGCCTTCCTTTAAAACCTTCTTGCATAATCCTTTCTTTCCCCATTCTGTCCAAGTACCAAGAGGCAAGTTTGTAAAAAAGGAAAAATATCAGGAAACGTCTCTTAAACATTTTTCTTCAGTCCGGAAAACTAATGAATTCTTACACTTTTCCAGAAATCCAGAACAAGAATTTTCAAAATCAACATACCAAATCGTCAATCTACCCTAGACACCTTGTTTGGACTAAAATGGCTTAGTAGGTATTTATGTTTACAGGAGTTGTTATGCTAATAAATTAAAATGAAACTCATTCATTTTCTGGAAAAAAAAAATAGAAATGGCGTTTGTCCAAATGATTATTTTTATGTTGTTTAGGGTATATTTATTAAATTTTTGCTATTTGGGTTTTCTAGATAAGCAAAATTAATTTTTTGACTTTTCAGCTTGAAGAAATTATTTCAGGGGTGTTTTGGTTCATTCCCTCATAAAATTGGTAAAAGAAAGTGATACAAAACAAATGGCAATCGTTGAAAGATGATAGTGTTATTTCATGGGATCCTTGAATTGATGAAGTATGCAGTGTTTTATTTTGATGCATTATGCAATTAATTCGTGTTAAAAATATTCACACAAATTCCATGAACTGATACTCTCATCAATTTCCTCAAACTATCAAGAGACTCACCCCAAGTAGTCAGCAGTTATTCAGCGTTTGGAACTATGTGAACATCCTTAACTAGGAGGGTTGAAAGGTTGATGATTAAGAATGCAGCTGGAGCGTAATTATTCCCATGGTGCTTAACTTGCAGCAATTCAAGAGAAAAGTATCAGTTGGACCCATCCGAGCCCAAACGACAACAGCAACTCCAGCATTCAACCAGTCTGCGCAAGAAGGGAAGAAAACTATCAGAAAGGGCAATGTTATAATCACTGGAGCATCCTCTGGCTTAGGTCTTGCCACAGCAAAGGCTCTTGCTGAAACTGGGAAATGGGATGTAATCTTGGCCTGCAGGAACTTTCTCAAAGCTGAGAGGGCTGCTAAATCAGTTGGCATTGCTAAGGAAAACTTCACTGTTATGCATCTTGACCTTGCTTCCCTTGACAGTGTCAGGCAATTTGTAGATAACTTCAAGCGTTCAGGAAAGCCACTTGATGTGCTGGTTTGCAATGCTGCCGTCTACTTGCCAACTGCAAAGGAGCCAACTTTCACTGCTGAAGGTTTTGAACTTAGCGTCGGCACTAACCATCTTGGGCACTTCCTCCTTTCACGATTGCTGCTAGATGATTTGAAGCAATCAGACTACCCATCAAAGCGTCTCATTATTGTTGGCTCGATAACAGGTACTAGTCTCGGTTTATAAACCTGATACACTCAATTGAATTGACAAGTAAAGAAACATTTTATTACTCTGCTCTGCTGATTAGGGACCTTTTGCTGAGAGCTACAAAGCTGGCACTAACAAAAAAAAAACCCATTAAACATTATATATATTTTTTGAAGACTTTGAGTTTGGCGTTAAAAATTCAACAGAATGTGGTGAATGGAGTTCACTAAATTTAAATGATCCCTCTAGATACTTGACAAAACAGGCCGAGTTCTCTGACCCTTAGGTCCCATTAGGTTAGCAGGAGGGTCTCAAGTAAAGTTGATGTACTGTTTGTCCTCTGAAAGTAGAAATTCCTTCCAAATTTGCAGGATAATGCAAGGGCCTGCAAGGCTTGCACTTTTGAAAGGAATTTTCTAAGTGCTTCCACGAAAACACTAGAAAAACCCGAGTCCTCCCTGTCTGTTTTCCTTTCACTCATACAATCTTACCCTCAATAGAGATGGTCTATAGAAAGATAACCATATAAATTTTGGGACTATCTATGAATTAATTCAAATAATTTTACCATATAGTCTGTAATGTTGTCTTTATTGTGGCTGGAATTGTAGGCAACACAAACACCTTGGCAGGAAATGTGCCACCAAAGGCTAACCTTGGTGATCTGAGGGGACTTGCGGGAGGCTTGAACGGGTTGAACAGCTCACCCATGATAGATGGGGGAGAGTTTGATGGTGCCAAGGCCTACAAAGACAGCAAAGTTTGCAACATGCTCACGATGCAAGAGTTCCATAGACGCTACCACGAGGAGACAGGAATCACCTTTGCTTCCCTCTATCCTGGTTGTATTGCGGAAACAGGGCTGTTTAGGGAGCACATTCCCTTATTTAGGCTTCTCTTCCCAGCCTTTCAGAAGTACATCACTAGAGGATATGTCTCTGAAGAAGAAGCAGGAAAAAGACTTGCACAGGTAACTTAAAATCAGTTGAAATTGTTGCAGTATGGAAATACCTGTGTTGCATCCTCTCTATCACCTTTATCTTTTAGTGCAGTTAGTTGTTTAACATTGGATCAAAGTACCATATTCTCCATTTGAATCTCGCTGTCTCCCCTATGATTGTAATACTTACACTCGCTTGATCTAAAATTTAACACACATGACTGGACGTGTTGAAATATATAAATAATTATGTTACACCTTCTCTACGAGTTTGAACTTTCAGGGTAGTTGGTGGTTTAACAGAAATAGACTGTACCAGCTAACCACCCCTCTTGAATTTCAGGTAGTGAGCAATCCAAGCCTAACAAAATCAGGCGTGTACTGGAGCTGGAACCAGAGTTCTGCCTCATTCGAAAACCAGCTTTCCAAAGAAGCCAGTGATGCAAAGAAAGCCCATAAACTGTGGGAAATAAGTGAAAAGGTTGTTGGATTGGCTTAA